GGGACAGCATTCGTGCTGCGCCGAGGTGCACGGAGAGCTGCCCTCCGAGCCACGCTGCAAGCAGCAGTCGCTGCACCAGCTCCCCACACACAAAGCCTGGAAGGACAAAATGACCCTTTCATGAAAGCCCGTCTCATTGCACACATACAAAACAAAGGCTAAACTTCCGCTGCAAAATGACCTCAGTTCAGGCACTTTGCAACTTCCGAGCACTTGGTGACCTGGATATTTGATAATCAACTACAGTGTTATTAGCATATCAATGCATTTATGTCCTGCATTTTGAATGACCTGTACCCTTTGAAAAGTAATGATTTTTGAAAAAGGAAAAAAAAAAAAAAGAACAGAAAAAGAGAGAGAGAAAAGCCTCACACAGCTAGCTTGCTCAGTCCACAGCCTCACGCAACGCACAAAAAAATCAGAGACAAGGAAGTCTCCCTGGAGTACAGGGAGCAAATTAAGGAGATCTGAGGGAGTAGTGTGAAAACAAAAGCATTCAGTGGAGGTCACTGCATGAAGGGGACTGATATAAATGATATAAACCTGCACATACCTAAGTTCCTCTCTGTTGGAAAACAGAGCAACACTATGCTTTCACAGACATTAACTGTAATAAATTTCCACCTTCGACTCAAAGCTATTAAAGTAATATTTTCCCATTGTACCACTTGGGATAATATATCTATGTAAATATATGAACTTCTGAAAGAATATTTCATGTTTGCCATTTTCAAGGTGTAATTTCTTTTGTAGTTTTCTCAGGCAACAGATTTGCTGTCTGGCATCTCTCTCTCTCTAAGAGCACAGAGTCGAGCGACTTTGATCCTTACCAACCCTACAGCTTACACAAAGATAACAGGGATAAGCACTAGCATGTGTTCTAGAAGGGGCATCCTAGGTAATTGAAACATAAAAAAAAAAAAAAAAAAAAAAAAAAATCCAGCAGGGCAAATGAAGAAGGCCCTTAATATTAGTTCAATAACCCGTCAATCTCTGAAATAATTCCCAACACTAATCTATTTATCTAGCAACTAAACACATTTTTATGACCTTCTTATACAGTAACACACTGGCTAAACCTTAGGACATTTAAGGAAAGGCATATTTCTCAAATATGAATCAGACCGCTTAATAAAGCTCAAAGGAAATTCCATGTAAACACATGGCATCAAAAAGCTGAGAGTACATATGTGTTTTGTCTTAATTTTAGTCAAAATGCAGCAATTCTTTCTTCTTCCTTCAGCAGTAATACTTTCAGAAGCATGGAGAACTGCCCTTAGGGAAGCTGATCATTAAAAAGAGCACAACTCTTCTTACACCATCCCATCCTAGGGATCCCTGATGCATTGCTAAATTAAATATTTCAGAAAAACAAACCCAGGAAACAAACTGGGATTTGGTCAATAGACTTTGTGCTGGATGAATCACTGTGGTGTGGAAACCACCAGCTCTAAAGATGGAAAGTCCAAAGCCATTCACTAGCATTTAAAAAAAAAAGGCATTAAAGAATCGCTTGGCTTGGGGTTTTGCTGCTAAGCTTCCCCAGCATTCGGAACATGGGAAGGGCTACCAATAGATTTGTCGTCTTAACCTTTTTTCTCCCCAACTCTCTCCGAGAGCATGGCTGGAACTCGGCCTCCACCGCAGTTTTTCCTGAGGACTGCAGTGAGAAGTGCTTAAATGTCACTCCATGACTCAACACGCAGAAACTCTGCAGGGTCATGGCACCCGTTCTTCCTTCCACATCCTGCACCTATTGCCCTCCTCTGTCTTTCTTCAAGAAAAAATAAAATCTGCATAGTTTATAGATTGAATGTGGCCAGTTTCTAAGCAGAGTTTCTTTCAGACTCCTCTTGTTACCTAGCAGCTTCTAAGGAGATGCTGCTCAGAAGGAATTAAGGGTAGCTGTTCTTGAACAAAGACATACAACAATCAGAACATATAGTGAGACAATAGTCATTTTGAAAGAGGTTAGGAAATTTCTAAGATTGTTAGAATTTATCACAACTGCTGATGATATCTAATAAAATGTTTCTGTTCCGCTTGAGCATATTATCATCTTCCATAAGCCAAAGTCTTATTAGCAAACAATTTCAGGAAAGTTCAAAAGCTGAAGTGTTGTGTATGCACATTGCTTGTAGAAAAGATAATAGCACTTCTTGAAAAGAACCTGCTGTCTGTTATTTTTTTGCCTTCCCTGTTTCCGAAGCACGGCAGACATAAAGAAGGTATCCTTGGATATGTAACACATTTGACTCAACTAGTCATTATGTATCTATCAATTATTTGACAYAATCCTGCCTGCTGTCACTGTTTGGTTTTCTGATAACTGTCAAACTCACCTGTTTTCTGGATCGGCAGCAGTCTTCTTGGCAGTGCTCGATGAGAGAATCAGGAGCCACAGTGAGAAACGGACGTAGCTGCAGGACAAAAGGACAGCTACAGCAGTGGCGAAGTACCTGGAGCTGAGGAAACCCAAGATCAGATCCATGTCTTTACACAGCATTATGTACATCATTCGTTCTCTCTGCTCCTCAGCACTTTATTGGTAAAACGGCACTTCTGTATGACAGGCTCTGTAAACACAGTATGAAGTGGCACATTGACAGGGAACACAGAAATACCTCTGAATCTATTATAACTCCCTACTACAAATCAGTCATTTTTAACACACAAAGAGAATGATTCCAGAGAATGCAATAGTGGAAGCTACTTACTTACAAAAGACTGAAGAAACACTCTTTCCTAACACTGAATGCAGTTGTTAAGTTTGAGTTTAAGGAGATTCTCTACCACACTGGCAATATTTGGAAAGCAGTCCTTCAAAATTACTAACAGTTTYCCATGCAGCAAACTTTCAGCTAGCAGCAATGTTGCATTGTAGCACTGATCATAAAGGGCCGATGGAGTCTTTCAGCATCCCAGGCATACTTCAGCAAGACTTGAGTGAGATATCTATAAAAAAAGCCTATCAAAAATCTGTCAGTCTTGTGAATTTGTTTTGCACACTTCTCAACATCAAAAGAAAAGGCTATCAAAAGCTACTAGTCCCATCAAAATTTTGCAGGCTGTAGGTCTGGACAGAATCTGGCCTTAAATATGGAATTATGGCAATCTTAAATAAGGCACCAACTTCCTGTGGATTTCTGATCCCAAGGAGAAGGCAGACACCACACAAGCCTAGCTAAATTCTCTGGAAACTTGCCTATACCAGGAARAGCAATTCCACCCCTTCTGGGGTAAGCTTAGTCATTGGTAGCACAATTCTATTTACAAAATCATACTCTCATCTTTCTTTGCAGATGCTTCACCTAAAGCACAAGTAAAACCAATCCCTTCTGCTTATGTCTGTTTTACATCCTTTGCTCAGGCCACAAAAACTCCAACACTGATTTCTGACCTTTTCAAAACAGCCAGATAAATAAACTAACTTTATTTTCAGCAAAGCTACTTTTAACTATGCTGCATGTAAATCTTTTCACTGTTTCGTGGCCAGCAACCTCCACTCAGATGTACTGCCTGATCTCTTCTCAAAATCTCATCACAAACCCACCTTTCAGGGGAATAGGATGCAAAAGGCAGGCAAATCAAAACACAGGATGTACAGAAGCTGCTCCTGCACTGTCACATTAACTCCAACCTGAGGTTCACTCTGGTTTGCCCTAAAACCCAGCGTGGGTGCAACTGCCTGAATCTGCTGGGAACCAGAGCCCCAGTTCAAACACAGCTACCAAAACTGGTCATAGGCCAAGAAGTCACAAGGGGTTTAGGTCACTTGTACAGTACAGGGAGAGCATCTTTTAATGCAGGTTTTTAAGATATCTAAATAGTCTTGCATCAACCTCTCTCCCCTTCTCTTTCCCTGAGTGACTACCCTGCACTAAAGCTCATGGTGACTTTTCTCAGGCGCTGTATTCATTAGGACAGCTCTCAGCTCTACACACTGCCAACACCTGTATTGTGGACTAGCGCATTCTGAGTATCTTGCCCTGTCCCATGTCACCACCTCAGGTTTCCAGGTACCTCCACATCAGTGTCCAAGCTCGGGGCAGGAGCGTTCCTCGAAGGCAGCCTCTCAATGGCCCCTTTCCCTGTGCTTTACTTGTGCCACGGAGCAGCCTCGGGCGCGTGGGCTGGACTCCCGTGCAGGCACCGCGGCAGCTCACGGGCCGCTCGCCGGCCGCACACACACCATGGTCCCGGTGCGGCCGCCCAGCTCCAGCCCCTCTCCTGGCGGCCCCGTACTTGCTAGTGCAGAAATTGCCTTAGAGTACGAGACAATGGTTCCACCTCAGACAAATTTAACAACCCTCTTCTGCTCTCTACAACCACCCAAAGCCCACAGTCACTCTAGAATAGGAATCAAATTCATCTGGAGTAACTCCTTTGTCTTCCTTGATTTGCCTTTCTGTGACTCAATTTCTAGGCCACTCCTGCAGTGCTACCTGTAACTTTAAACCAACTATAAAAATCATTTCCTCTTACTTCCAACTTAGTTGCACCATGATCTTGGCATCTGTGAGCCAACCCAGGATGCAAGGACCTCAGATTGCAAAAAGCAGTCCTCTACACTGATTCARTTAAGTTCCTGAAACAACTGATACTATGTTTTATCATAACACGTACATTTATATTAAATTTCGTGACTCTACAGCATTCACAGTTAGCCATGTATGCTCTGTGTCTTCTGTAAACACATTTTGTCCTATTATACCATGTAAAAAAATACTGGTTTTGTTCTAATGTAATTTTAAGAATCAAATTTACATACCAGACCTTTGGAAAACAGAGATCCACCTTTAAATGCAAAGAACAAACATTTGCATTACCTATTTATATTAAAAAATGCAGAAATTTCCAAAGTATTCAGTCAACTTATAAATTTTTATAACTTCTTCAAATTGTTAACATTTTTTAACACACAGCATTATTTCAGCTTTGTGAAAAGCTCAATAACAATCTTTCTGGTCTGGAAAAAAGGAAAGAACATTGTAATAAAGAATGCAGAATAAATAAAAACAAAACAGTACAAGTCGTACATCTACACATACAAAGACAACTTTCATGGTGAGCTATAAGCAATTATAATAACACAATGTGCTGCATGTTGATTTCACCAGTGAAAAGAATTTCTCTAGTTATTGAAGACTTTCCTGGCAGAAATTCAGAAAAAAAATTCTGACATTCTCCCAATCTGACTTCTGTGCAATGCAAGTCATGCGCATTTTAAACACCAATGAATAATACTGCCTTTCTTCTATGAACTGTTAACAGCTGTAGAAACTATTATAGCCTGCTTAAAATCATGTCTCTGTAGTCAATATTCTCCAGACACTTAGCAATACTAAAGCTATTCCTGGGGCTAGACTAGAATTGCTGTGTGAATACAAAGTTTGATTTATGTTGAAGTGAAACAACAAACATCTGATCTTTCTTTTTTTTAAATAGCCATTCATATAAACATGAGCATCAGCTGCATAACTAGAAAGTGATGTACCAAATTTACAGAAATTAGACAAAGGAAGACCACCCACAGTTACCTTCAAGAAGAAAARTGAGTGAAAGACTGCTGGTGAAGCTACTTCATACAGTCCTGGATGCCTAACGTCCTCATGGTGAAGCTGTGGTTCATCAGAGTGATATTTCACTAATCTAACTTTTCAAGCGTTCTCAAAGGCAGAAAATTGATCAGCAGCCCACTACAGTATCTTRGCACTGCTCATCATCAGCTGCTGGCAGCCCAGTCCCAGCTCAGTGGATTGCCTAATAAACTGCTCCAGATGCATCCAAGAGGAAGTGGTCTCTGCATGTTAGTGTTATTCTTTCTCATCCCAAAGCACAGGTGGGAGCAAGAGAAACACTCGGCACCGGTTCCTTTGACATTTTTGAAGGGGTGCCTGGAAAGAGACAGGAAGAGACGCACATGGAACAAGAGCAAATCTTAAAATACATATGAAATTTCAGATACGTTCTGCAGGTTCATGTTCATCACTAAACTTTTACAGAAACTTGATGTGCTAAAAATCCAGTTTTGATTCCTCACTCTGACAAACTGCTACAGTTCCTTCCTTTACACTGTTACACACTATCACCTTTCTAGAAAGCAAAGCAAGTAGATAAAATCAGATTTGCAAGGGAGGGCACATATGATCTCTGACAGAAAAAGCAATTAATTTGACCAGCAACAGYAATGAAATGAAGGCTGGGCTAACCTCAAGTAGGGCACTCTTAACTCCASAAAAACATTGTAAATCAATCAAAAAGTTCTTTTGACTCAAAAAAATAGTGTAACCCCTGCTAGATTAACATTATATTTTAGAAGAATTTTTAATTGTCAGAGTATCTAGAAGGAAGAAATATGTGCTAAAATTTCAGTTCATTGATAGGTTTTTCTGGTTTTTGGTATTAACTAATTAACTTTTTTAAACCGTCACACAATGTCTTCTACTCCGTGGCCTTTCTTATGGAAGTTTTGGCACACACCAGAGATTTGGAAAACGATACGCCTGTTTGGAGGAGGCCTGAATAGCTGTTAGAACCATCAACTACCCTTCGCTCTAGAGACTGCCTTGCTGAAGCTCCAATATCCAGCGCAGCTGCCTGGGGACAGCAGCTCTTGCTAAAACGCTGCATTGCCAATTGCTGCTCTAATGACAGTGAGCAACTGAGCACTCCAGGACAACACAAATCTGAAACTCCAAACACAGACCTAACTCACAGTAGAGTTGCCATAATTCTTTCTACTTTCACATTGAATTAAAGCTCTTGGTCTTGGTCTGGTCACAAAACCACTGCTATCTGTGGAAAAACTCCCCTTGAGTATGCTCAGGACCCCTGCCCATATTTACAAGGTCATATCCTACATGACATATCCTATAGCGCTCCCACTAACAACTCTGCTCCTCTTCCTCCCTACGCAGTCTCTCGCTCCCTCTGCTCCTCCGTGCCTTCCATCTGCCATTCTCGTGCGCCTCCAGTCCATTTCCAAGCTGAGCCCTATGCCAGGCTGCCCTCTGGGCTACGACCTCTCTCCATGAGGGCTTTCATAGCAATGTCACATCTCACACAATTTGGGGTAACACTCAAATTCAATGGGAGCAAAGCTGACCCATATCACTGGGTGTTTCTTGCCAAGTCTTTTCCCTCCTCTGCTCCAAATCCTGCCTCTCTGAATAATCTCATCCATCCAACCTGTGTTTAGCATTTGTAACTTTGCTCCCTTTTCTTCCTTAGCTCTTGTCCTACATTTTGCATTTGATAATTTTGCCATACCTAGAATGAAAGCTCCTAAAGAAGCCCACAAGCCTGCTAGGTTTTTTTTTTTCCCTTGTCTATAAAATGGTGCATTATTTAAACAGCTTCCTGTAACGAAGGAAAGAGATAATCGGTTCACAACGCTAGATGTATAGAAGGAGAGGGTGTGCACATTAGGAAGAGTGCACTGGTTTAGTCAATTTGAATAGCTAACTAAGAAATAAAATATTTCTTTTTCAGAACACTGACTGCATACAATGCAAAAAGACTCTGTTACGGATTTAAAAAAAAAGGTAAGAAGAAATACCAAGGTTAATAGTAGCCGTGATATCCTTTGGCCTGGGAATTTCAGCTCAGCTCTGTTTCTCAGTTCAGCACAGTCACAAGGCAACACTTCAATTATAATCCTCTGGGGACTGCAAAAGAAAAAATGTAACGTTCAAATCAACTGATTTCCAAGGTCACATGTTTGTAATCAGGGCAGGAGGGAACCAAGCAGCCTTATAAAACTTACAAAATAAGTGCAAATCATGAAGCACAGCAAAGGCTCACAAGTAGTACGTGAACACCGGCTTTATTTGTTGATCTCTATGGTGGGTAGCTCCATTGAATGCAGTAAGAGAAATCAGGCTGTGGGTTGCAAGGGCAGATAATTTAGACTGGAAAGCTGACACTGGACCACATGGAAAATCAAGCAGCTTGGACTGCAGACAAGCTTTGGGTAGGGGGTGAAGGAACAGCTATTTCAAGAACCACTATTGGGCACAAAACAGCATTCTGCAAAGGAGTGGTAATAACGCACATGAAACACACTGATGGCCTCAACACGGTCAGAAAACGCTCAATAGACTTCCTCTGTAAAAAAAATAAAACAAAATAAAAACAGATTTCAAGCGATTTTATCCATCACAAATGAAAAATGAAACAGAAAAACCTCCAGCATGTGGGCGCATATCACAAATGTGAGAACAGAGCCTCCTAGCAATGCGTTTCAAGAGATCTGGTCCTTGGCAAAAATTCCAGAATGAAAAACATTTTAGACAGGTTATCTCCTTGCCTGTCTATGTGTTGCAAAGTCACCAATAATTGCAAAACTTTTAAGCAATCTTCTCTGCTGCTTTTATGTYGCCATAATTACATGTAGGTTGCACAGAACTGAATGGTATCTGGTATCATTATCCTAACATATGCAACTACCCATCCAGACATTTATACTATGCCTATCATAGTGGGGAGGGATTATGAATATGAACACACATGGCAAACAATACTGTTAACGCTTCCCATTTTGGCTGGTAACACTCTGTTACTGCAGTCCACAGGCAGGTGCTGTCATTTCTGACAAGCCTGTTGGGTACCAGTGACAGGAATCTGTCAGATCCTGCCCACACACAGGCCATGTCCCACACGGCATGCTGACCTCCTCAGAAGTATTTTAATTTTAAAATTCTACCATCAAATGTTACAAATATCAACTGACAACATATAACGTATTACGGAAAAATTSTAAGACATAATGGTCAAGACAGTACAAGAGGAAAATCTCCCCCCAGAGGAGGCAGCTGCCGTGCTGGGGCACATGCTACGTTTGACCTGGGAAATGGGCTGGACCCCTGTCTGCACCTGAGACAGGCTTGGTCCCTCGAGCAAGGCAAGAGGCAACAGCACCTCGAGGCTTCCTTTCTCACTCTGTGTCGAGAACTACTTATTCCAGCTTCCTGTCTACTCTATTAGAGGCACAAAGTTACGGATGGACAACCAGTTATGTTTCCTTGGTGGACAGTAAAACTGAGAAGAGCCCTTACACATCTAGTCACAGCAGTCCAGGCTGCTGCTTCTCCTTTGCAAGAGGTGACCAGGCCCACAGCAGAGTGGTAAAACTGAGCAAGTGCTTAGGATCTAGGCACTTCAGTGAAAACTCCAACAGCTGCAACTGGCAGGGAAGGTAGCTATACAGTAAGCATACAGACTTTTGCACTGAAGTGCTCAAGACAGACACCCTGCTGTGAGTCAGCAGGAAAAGAACGGACTAAATAGATAGAAACAACTTCAACCACACAAATACACTTGGGGAAGTCCTTCTGCAGCGCTCTAAGTGCTGGGGTTCGATAAGTTAAGTAACGAGACAATTCTACCATTGCTTCTTTAAGAAAAAGATTAAGAGCTCTCCAAGATGATGATTTTTTGCTTTTGGAAATTGTATTAAGACCAGCACAGAAATTGTGTTAGCAAAGAAGTGAATCATGAACACCAACAAAATGATTCACCAGTCCCTCGCTAGGAAGTGATATCATCACACATCACCTCCATGAGAATGGCAGAAGAGAAGCTTTGTTTCACAAGACAGGGAAGTGCTGTACTCTCCAAAATACAAGTATTAAATTTGCAGGTGTTCATGAAAAACGAGACGGGGTAAATTACTGGTGCCCTGGGTAGTGAATCAGATGCCCCATGTGGTGAGTGAGAGCATGAACACACAAACTCCAATACTTACAAGCACTGCTGAAGAACACCAAAATATTCCCAATTTGGATTTGGATAAGTTGCAAACTCTGGATACATCTTACAGTTTTTCCATTCCAAACAGATTCTTCTCCACCATCCCAAGTCAATCCATCAGTCCTCACTTTATCCTTCTAGCCACAGTAAAAACAATAAAATCCTTTCTTGCTCTCTGCTTAGAGACTCTTAGGAGCCAAGTGTTACACTGACTTTTACACTGCAGATCACATCAAGGAGAAGTTGAGTGTGTGTATGTGGCAGCTGTGGAGGAAGGCAGAAAGGGATTATCAGGTTTCAGAATGTATGCTGCACTTTGTCTTCAGGGGTGACACACTGCATAACTTAAAACCGTGCATGGTATAGGGCACCACCATTCTCTCTGCAGTTATTCTGGGTGGCATCAGCTTGCCAGCAACTCCAAGCGCTCAGGATGCTGCGCTCTGCCATGCCGTGTGATTAACGATGGGCCCCTTGCAAAGCAGGCAGCAGTAGGCTTGCAGCTAGATCGCTGCTGAACTGCTGATGACAAGCTGACATTGCTCAGACTGACTGCACTATTCTTTCTGCAGATCTTATTCCTGGTCCTCAGTTTGTCCTGTGTGTCAGGATGTCAAAGTACTACCCCCTAGCTCTCCTGGTAGGGTTGCTTCTCCCTCACTCCTGCCCTTCCTTTCAGAAACCTTCTGCTTACTGCATCTAACTGGCCCAAGTATTTGAAATTCAACAGAAACAACCCTGCTTTCCTCCCAAACTTTCTGCTCAGCCATCCCAGGGACAGCTTGGTTCTAAGCAACTTCCACATAAAAGCAGCAAATTTTTGTACCACTCATTTTCTGCAGAACTCCCTTAATTCTCTGCAGGTAATTCTCCGGTGGTCTTGCTGCTACACAGTTCCGCTGGCCTACAGAACACCAGAGGCTAATTGGCTTTAGAAACAGCCACAGAGCAACAGGCACCTCTAAGCAACACTAGTGAAGTCACTCTAAAAAGAACAAGTCCAGTTCCATGGAAAATGAAATCGGCTTGGTTTTATTCTGCTATTGCTCTTAAACTCCTCCAGAATCTGGATGTTTAATGCAACTCCTGTCTTTGACTCCAGCAACCTCTAGTCCCTGAAGACTGCTGTAGCTGCACAGGCACTGGACTCAGAACTCATCAGCTCAGAGATTTCAGGCACACTTGGTGCCAGACAGAGCAAAGCAGAACTTCTCATGCAATCCATCCGCTTTACAGCACCCGGCAAAGGCAGCAGGCTACCCATCAGCCTTCCAACTCAACTCTCAAAGTCACATCCAATCCAACAAGAAGAGTGAAACGAGAGCTGCCTTCCTGCACTACAGCTGCACGTACAGGCTCAGGCACGGTGACAGGCAGCTGCCAGCCCAAGGAGCCTAAGCTAAAAGGACAGAGGGGTCAAATAGAGGAGACAGGAAACATGTCTCTCCTCACACACGCAGATGGGGAACTTGATTGCGTGATTTCTCTGCATGGTAGGGCACAAGGAAGAATATATTCTTAATATAACTTCAGTGCTGTGGTCTATTTAGACAAGATCACAGAGGAACTCCACCAGGAGTCGTAAATGGAAAAGCTGCTTCCAAAGCACTGGATCTAAACTTCCACAGATGACACTTATTTCACGTAAATGTAACCCCATCAATTTTCACAGTTATTTCAGACATACTTAAAGAACAAAATGAAAAAAAAAGAAAAAAGAAAAAAATCAGTTTGACTTAGAAAAAACATCTGGAGTTAACACAAATAACATTCTAGCAAATATTTTACGGTACATTTCACTCTGATGAACATATTCCCTCATCCAAGTTATTTCTACGTTCTAATACTATCACCTAAATTGTTGGACTCACCTCTCTAAAAATTATCGAGTATCATCCATTAATGACACCACATTACAGTGTTTCTATCCAAACAGTTTCCTTGCTGTGCATAGGCAGCACTCCCTTAAAGTCTGTCCCAGACTGAGCAGACAGGACTATACCACAGATACCAACTTTATCTCAATTACTCAGAAAAGTGAATGGTTAATTTCTTCTATGTAGTATAAAACCTCATGTACCACAGGAACAGAAGTGTAAAGGCCACATAGTGCTTTCACTTTATGTGTGCATCTTCCAATGATGTCAACTGGATTTCTGATTCTCAATCAGTACACTTTCTGCCAGGAAGTATTTTCAAACATATCCCATCAGCTCAYGCCTATGTTCTGACAAAATTCTACATCCCTCTGCATCATCCATATTTGTACTAAATGCCATCAGAGGGGAAAAAATAGAAAAAAGAGCTAATATAAGTAAAATTTACTTGTACTTCCAGTTTCTGGAAGCTCTTTGAAAAGTGAAAGCATTTTCAAGTGTTGGCCTCAAAAAAGGTATTTTCTGCTGTCAGGAGTTTGAATATGATGACTCCATTTCTAAGCATAAGGACRGCTGATAACCTGATGACCAGGTTACCACAGCCTGAGAACTTCAAGACATGAAGGCGGCTTAAGCTAACAGAGCAAGAGAGGAGAGCTCCTAGAGCTAGTCCTGAAACTCCTGTTGAGGAGTCCTGTCAACTCCTAGTTGAGGAGTGACAGTGTCAATCTACAGCAACCATACTGGCTGCAATAGTCTCCTTATACTCTAGCTGCTAAATTGGTTTTGTTCCAAGACATGGATCAAAATATTGCAAGTAAAACAGTGCGTTGAGTAGAGCAGAAGAAAAGTAATTTCCAACTTGTGCTTCTCATGAAGTTTTCAAATTCTGCATAAATTCTAACCAATTTTATTATTTTAGTTACTTGCAAGTATCTTTACACATAAAGAACCTATTTCTTTTCATCCACTCCTTTTTACCTTTCCCTTGAAGTAAAATAGCTCAGAGATTCACATGTAAAGATTGAGATGAGATAACAGAAAWTAAAGATTGTTTCAACTGGTTTTGTATACAAAATAAAAACCTAATTACAAACCAGATAATGGGTTGACTCTGCCTCGAGTTACTTTAGGGACCAGCTCCCTAGATTCCAGGGCTTAACGTAGATTTGCTCTCTCTGTGACAAATCAACTCAGTCAAATTAGCCGAGCTGTGCTAAATAGTCTGACAACTAAATATTGAGTTTGTCTTTATAAATCACTTAAAAGTCAAAGGCCACAATCTGCACACAGAGCTACCTTACTTCAAGCCCCAGTACAAGGATCTATCATTCACTGGGCCAGATTCTGCTCTCATTTGCACTAATGCAAATCCACATCATTTCCTCTACCATTGGTGCAGTTGATGGGTACTGTATCATGCATGGGAGCAGAATACGGCGGCGTCATTTTTCCACTGGGGGTTACCAGTTACAGGTAACTGACGTGACCAGTTACTCATTGCGCCTGTTCCACAGGCGGATTGGAGGGTTTCCTCTCTGCTGCACAGGCTGCTTACTCCACTTGCTCTCCTTGCAGCTCCCAAGGACAGGGGAGCTCTATCACATCCCTCCAAGGCCTTTATTTTAAATGGATCTTGTTTCACAGACAGACCACAGCAGGTTACTTATCCCCCTTAATTCATCTGATTTACAAGAAGCACTCCAGCTGGGTAACACTAAAGACAAAATTGTTTCTACAGTATATTTACACACAATAAAATGAATCAATCAAGCAAACAAAGTGTACAAAATGTGCCCTAGTATTAACTAAGACCAGAAAAAAAAATCTCTCTCTCCAGTACTTTCAGTGCTTATAAATATATACTTATGTCATAAGTAACCTAGAGCTTCCAGCAATTACTTAGTTCTCAAAGCTTTGAGCCAAGTTTTCTCCGAGATATTTATTCACTGAGGCTCACGGGAGGTAAAAGAAAACCGATCTTCAATCCTGTTTCCTCAGCATGAAAGCAAAGTTTCCTCAGTCACCCTGACTGACCAGCTCACCAAGCTGAACTTTGCCTGGACTCCCTTTATTTACTGTGCATTTGAGTCACTACCGCACTGCCAGGCATGGTGGCACTCTCTGCCCAACACCTGGTCAGCAGAGAACAAGCAGAGGGACATGGGGAACTGCCTGCTGAGGAAGTGAGTGCTCTGCTGACAGTGAAAGAGCGATTAAAACACAGGCGAGAGCACACAGAGCACAGAAATGCTCTTTCTGTCCCACGTGCCCATATCAACCGGGTTAGGAGTTACCATTGGGCTAAAACTCTTCAGATATTGTGTTTAGGTATTCGTATCCAATATTTAGTGCCTTTATTTTCTTCTGGTACCATAATAAAGCTGTTCCCAGTTAAAAAAATAGGGCTGTTCATGACCATGATGAGGTATGTCAAGAGGCAGAGCCTGCAGAGCGCGGCGCATAACACACAGACTGTGCCGGCCAAACAAGCTCACGTTCCTCCCATGGTCCGACCTCGGATGGGACTCACCTCCCAGCCCACGCAGCAGCACTCAGCAGGATGACGTGTCCAACTGCGGATGCAGTTCTCTGCCCTGTTGCACTGGAAGATCAATGTCCAGATCACCAGAGAAACAAGCTTTCTCAAAACCTTCCCTTGCCTAAAAGGGAATACTAATTTATTACACAGATAAAAAACAAAGTAAATCACCCAAACTTGACTACTGATAAGGCCAAAAAGGGCCCTCTTCTGCCACCCTTCCACTGAATGCTAATTTCACTGGGGAGAAAAACTTAACAGTAGTTTGTGATGCAAATTCATATGTGCTTTTTATTCCCCTAGGACCATGCACTCAAGCAAAAGACTGACACTCTTTTGTTTTGTTTTCTCCTCCTCTAGTGGAAGACATTAAGAACTGGGCTTTAATTCCCTGGTAAAGCCGGAAAACAATAGGGTGCAGATTCCTGAACCTCATTATGATTAAAGAGAAGTAACTCTAGAAGAACAGAGAAGGGCTTCAAATACTCATGTTCCAACTGCATACAGTCAGTCACCAACAGCACACCCAGTCACTGTTTTCAGAGGGGAGTTATCATCTCAGCAAAGCAGCAACTCAATTCTGCATATTCAACATTGAGATTTTCAGACAAATACTATGGTAAAAATGCACCAAACTTACAAAAGAACTCTTAAGTGCTTGGAAACAACAGCTGTATGGCTGCTTAGGCAATCTTCCTTGTACCTTCTTGTATAAGGAATCAGTTGCAGAACACTATCACATCCTGCTTCCCTACTATGCAGCATCCCATCAGCTTCAAACTTTTCTATTTGGTCTCAAGAAATCACGTGCAGATATGACATAAATATGATTTATATATGTATATTTATATTCAGCCTACAACAGTATTCATTTTGCATTCAATTTTAACATCGTATATACAAATACACAACTCTGGAAAATCTGGTACATATGTAAAAGGAGATTTTTTATAAAGCCCTAAGTATTTCCCACAGTTACAGGGCTCCTCTTCTTAGAGGTGCCTTTTCTTCCCCACTACACACAGGAGCAGCAAGCTAGAGGAGATGATCCAACTTCCCCAAAGTAACATCAACATAAATTAAGACCAAAAGGTCACATGAACGCTGTCCTCCAGCTGCACACCTGGAAGAACTCACTCTAATACTCTATACAAGACTAACATTTTTAGCTGCAACTCACAAGTCTTCAGAAGTACACCCCACACAAGCAGACAACAAAAGAGATCCCCAGAGAATGTGCTAGACGAAAAAGGGAGCATGCACAAAGCTACTCAGCCATTTTGTAGGCTAAGAGGCTGTCTGCATCCTCTTCCAATGTTATAAATATTACTGTATATATAAAAATACAGTCACAGGGCTGCCATGAGTTGCATATGAACAATTCTGCACAACCAACGTCAGCTCCTGGCATGTATAAGGCCCTTGCCCATGCAGGCCTCTTTGCAGGATTAGGACTGTAAGCTGTGATACATAAATGCTGGTATAATGTGTTTACATAATATGTAAATAGATAGAGAAAAGTACATTCACACCAACTACTGGGAAAAGAAAACAAATCATTTTTCTACTGCTAAAAGTACTGAATCATTTACCATCTGTTTTGGGAGAAAAAAGACACAATCCAATTCAGCTAAGAAGAAAATCCTGTCTAAAAAAAGTAATCACATGCTAAATCCCCCTAAGTTCAATTTCCACTCATCTTAACATGGAGACATGACAGTTTTCTTTTCCTAAGGAGAGGGAGAAAAAAAAAAAAAAAAAAAAAAAAAAAAACTTGAACGATGTGAAGCTTGTTGGGCCCTGATCCTACAAGCTCTAGATACTTAGCTATGGGGGTAGTGAAAGCTATTTCTCAGGGAAAAGTTGAGTCTATGCATCAGGTTCTGCTGGAATACATCCCAATCTTCTAAGAAAAATCTGACATGCATTTGCTATCATGCTGTGAAATGCAAAAGTAAAATCTAGATATTGAACTTGTGAACTAATTTGTCTTTCCTGGCAACATGTGCTTTTTAACTCTAACACAAGAAAATACTATGTATATGTACCTTAGCATAGCACAGAAGTGGCATGTTTTTGAGAGTATATTATTACAATTGAAAAAGGACATTTGGTCATGTAAACACAGTACCTCGGCACACACAATGAAGTTCACGCTTACAGCTGTGGCAAACATTTGTCATTTCCATTTCCTCAAGTTATAGCGACTTTTCACTTTGTCCTCAGATAACACACCATTAAAAAGTATTTCTTCATTTTAAAAGTAACTTAAATTTTTTTGCATCATCATTTCAATACACTCTTTAAAATCCAGTCTATATATAGAATTGATTTTCCACATGGCTTTGTTCTGCTTCACAGTTGTTCGTTCCTAAAATGCACGTTATGGATCTGAACTGCTCTGTTTCCTCTTTTTGTCATTCTTTGCACATTCAATTATCACCTCACATTACAGGCTTTTTCTCCGGAGCATCTTCCTAACTTCATTCACCCTCACATCTCTTGCTTCTCTTTTTCCTCTTCATTTCCATCTACTAACTAAATTCTTACACTTTCTAATTGCTGCTCTTGAATTTTAATAATTTCTGTCTTAGAATTTGTCAAATCCTGGTTGGTAATCACAAACTGAAAGAGACATCAATATCACTGTGTGGGTGGCTGCAATGGTCCTGTGAGTCCTGGCCCTCCTCCTTTGCCTCCCCCAGTCCAACTCTCCCTCGCTCTAACACTTCCATCTATTTCCCTCCTCCTCCCCAAAGCCTTAAGGAGTTTGACACGGGCCTTTTACCTATATGACAGAGAAGGAGCTTAGTGGAAAACTGGTCAATTGATCTAAATACTCAAAACATCAAAAGAAGCTTGACTGAATACTTCGCTCACTAAACTTTACAGCTAATTTGTTCTTCTCTTAAACACTCAACCTTTCCACAGGAAAAAAAAAAAAGAAAAAAAAAAAAGAAGGTCATATCCCTCAGTTATTCCTCAAAAGTGACTTTGGCTTACTCTTTCCTTCTTAAACTTTGCACTGTTGGTGAAACCAGTACAGATCTTTACTGGGATAAATTTGATCCCAAATCATAACAAATGAACAAAGCTCTTTCTCTTGCTAAAAATTGTTTTTAAAATAATACATTAAGAGTTCAGACATACAACAAAAATGCAATCAAATTCCTGTGGCTTCAAGAGTTCCTGCTTATCACCTAAATGACAACAGCACCCAGTCTTTGCTCGTGATTGCAAAACAGAAGGGCTTAGCTTAAAGACAGCCGGTCTGTCTTTGCACTTTGCAGCAAGGGAAGGCTGCGGTGAGCACCAAGCCAGTAACAGCAAGTCCAACCGCAGAGCAGTAACCCTTTAAGCCACAGAAACGGGGTTACTTTAGACTTTGCTAGTAACTTTGCCCAAAAGTTGCCGCACAACCACTACTTTGTGTGGCAAAAGCAGCTGCACAGACACACACCTAACACTCTCCATGACCCCAGAGTTAATACATTACCTACCCACAAACTCTCATCGACTCCAACAGGAGYAGACTCACACCCTACATTTAGACAAAAGTGCTTATACGCTGCACATATCTTAAAAAGTAAATATTATACTAATTGATAATGTGAGCAACAGACATGCACTGAGAGAAATATAAAGCGCTCCTTAAGCAGGGAAAGCTTTCCTCATCACTGCCAGATGATGAAGGCTCTGTACAGAGCCTTGGTGCACTCAGTGGGCCCTTCCCCTCTGCCATATGAGCCAAACCTCCTCCATTTGAAAGTCAGCTGTTGAGGGGAGGGCTGAAGGCCAAGAGAGCCGCTTCCAGGCACAAATGACCTTGCAAGCTGTCCTCCATCCTCCGCTCCCTCACTGGGTGACCCAACAGGACCCTGGGGATTCTCCAGAACAGTAACAGCACAAGAGGCAAAGTGAAGCGGAGGTCGGCACTGATGTAACCAGGGCCAGCAGGGCTGACGGATCCAGCCGGCGGCAGCAGCAGCAAAGGAACAGAGCGGGCCCACAGGGAGGCGGCTTTGCGGAAGGCAGCCAGCCCCGCACGGAGCCGCGCTGGTGCGCGCGCCTCGCCAGCAGCCATGGGCATCAGGGCCCCCGGAGCAGCACCCGGCGCAGCTCCCACCGGCAGTCCGCGTCAGCCACCGAGCTGGGCTGCTCCTCCCACGCCGCGTGGCCGAAGCCCAGGAATCTCCCAAATAGGAGACAGACTCCTCATGCTAACAGCAACTGAGGCTAGAGCCAACTATGACTCTTATTTCGCACCAGTTACCTCAGGACATAGATTCAAGCTTTCCCAACAGGTAGTATCACCATTTAAATTAACAGTAACTGGTGGCCATAAAAGTCTGCTTATAGTAAATGGCTTCTATGCATTTTACTGCTTCTTAATGCATTTTTGTAAACTAAGTATCAGATGATTTTAATACAACTGGAGACAGGCAAAGAAGAAATCACAAGTAAACATGTCACTTATTTAAAACATGTCTTTTCTGCTAGCAATTAAAACACTAGAAGTGGTATTTCAAAATATGGTGTTCAGTAAATTAAAAGATTAACTAAATTAATTGGTTCTTTCCATTTGTTTCTAATTATATTCTTCACAAAATAGTATCCACATGCATTCTGGCCGATCTTTTATTTTGAAAATTATGCCAGTAATGTGAGTTATAATAGAAAGGATAATATCCCTTCCGTGCATAATACAGCTGAGTACATGGAATTTTCAGAATATTTATTACAGGTTCAATTTGGCTGTGGGTTTCTCTAACTTCAGTAATTAAGAAAAAAATTGTTTTAGCTTTCTGCCTGAACCAGAGCACATGTGCTATAGACAATTCAACAATATTCTTGAATACTTTTTTACGCTTTGAGATTTCAATGTTCTGAGTAAGTTAATTAGGTTACCTTTAGAAAGCATAAAAGATGCATGAAAAAAATGAAAATGTCAAGTAATAACTCCTTCTCCAACTACTAGGGAATTTCTCACTAACCAGTCTCTCCTGTGGAAGCCTAAACCTGGAGAAAGTACCAAAAAGCAGGTTTAGCAGCTCCACAGCTGCTGCGGGTAAAGGCAACACCACAAACACTTCTGGCCACAGACGGAGGCAGCACAGTTTCTGACCACACTGGTAAATGGTTCCTTCTTCATCCCCACTATTGGTCCTAGACAGAGTTCAGGAGGGATAAGGGCGTGACGAACCCATGGCACCCATCACCAGTCTATCTAACCTGGGTGGAATTGGAGACATCAGCGGGGATCTGACTTGCACCAATRGAAAGCACGGAACTGGCAGAGCTGAATGCTGAAGATCAGAATGCAGCTCGTTATCTCTGCAAATTCACGCATGGCGAGTATTGCTGCACAGCTCTCCCTGCTCTGAGTCACTCCAGCTCCTGCTCTAGGCTGTTCAGCGGCAAACTGTCAATAAAATTCATTAATGATGTGCTTTATATAGAAATAGTGCATTTAACTGAGAGGCTACAACAAATGAAGAGTGCAGCAAGGGGTGAWTTACGTGCTTAATGGAATACAGGATGTATGTCAGTAAAGAAATGGTAAAGGTGGGTGGGAGTCTTAATGCTACATAGAGCTATTTGAAGTTTGGCAYATGAACCTAATTCCCCTTTTGATTTCGGTACAGTTATATCTACCATTTCTGTGTCTATCTACTGATATAAAAATTCTCTGATGAATAATTGATAACCAACTTTCTTTTGCGCAAGTCATTACTGGAGAGACAGCAAATATTACAGACATGTTGTTTGTCTTCTCTCTTTTAGTGCTCATCTTATCTGAATCATGTTTGGCTAGCATTCGCATCTATCTCCTTGATTGGTGGTAGCTATAAAAAAATCAGATACCCCTACGGAACTGGTGGCAGAAATAGAAAAAAAAAAAAAAAAAAAAAAAAAAAAAAGATATTTTGACATAGATTCTTACTTTTTTTATCCTGTGTAAACACACATCTGTAATTTTTGACATTTATATTGGAGGATGATTTCTGTATTGCTTGTCCAAGTTCTACACTGAAATATTCCAGCATCATGACACAACATTTAATTACAGCTAAGAACTCACCTTGTAAATAAGCAGTTGCCATTTTCACACATTCAAGACAGCTGCTTTGCCTGGTTGCTACTGGTAATTCTAATTTCTCAAACCACCAACAGTTAAATTAAGAGGTTCTTCAAAAGAATTCCTAGAAGAAAATAAAAATCACCAAGTGATATTTCACAAACTTGAGGGTAATTTATAACAGAAAACAGTGCTAGACAAAGAAGAGGTGGAAAGATGGAAAAACTGGCAATCCTACAGCAGAGTTCAAACAGTAAGAAGTATAGAAAGGAGAGGAGCAATAAAAAGAAAGCAGCTGTAACACATTCACTCCCCGCCCCCCTCCGGGGAGGGGAGAGGAAAGGGAGACCAAAACCTAAACCTGACCTAACACACACTGGTTTTATCATAAAACCACTGGGCTGAACTTTGATCATTGCATCACCAACACTAATCGGTATCAAGCCCAGTCAATTGACTGTAGCGTGATTTTTTTTTTTTTTTTTTTTTTTTTTGCCTCTAATGCACTCACTGTGGTTTGGGGCAGCTAAAAATGTGTAGTGGTTTTTTTTTCCCCCCAATTAAGAAAAACAAACAAATAGCAATTAATTCTTTTAGCTAAGCTGGACAGACTGGTTTTCTTTTGAAGTAGCTTCTTATATTACCTCATTGAAAAATGTGGGTTTAACTGAATCTTAGTGCCAAGGACATATCTTTGCACGTATCCGTTAGAAATGGAAATCAATACAGTAATGAAAAACATGAAGGATTGTAATATCATCAGTTATGGAAAATATAAACCTTATCACCAATGTAACATGACATGTAGAATGTTCCCATGAAGAACTTTTTGAGACCTTTCAAAATCTTAATCAAATAAACATCCTTGTACATAGAACGTGTGATTCATAGTTTACAGTTTATCCTAAATGGTCAAGTAATTCACCCAATATTACCTCACAAGTCAAGATCAGGCAGGGATCAAAATTCAGGATTCTGTTTTCCTACACTGATCTTTTCTAAAACTTTATGTTCCTCCAGCTCCCCAGTTGCCTCCGAGCGCCTAGCAATTCTATTCCCAGCAGTCAGTTCATTCTTGTGTGGCACATAGCTACCACCTGCAAGAATAAAACCTGATTCCTAAAGATAGAAATGGATAGTTTACACAATGATAATTTGCCATTATCATTGATAACTGCCTTGACAATTAAACCAATTTGTCCTGCRGAAGAGGACTAAATAGAAAAGATTGGACATAGAGCCTTCCAAATCCTTCGGCTTCTGAAAAAACTGCACGTCAATGAGGCCACGGGGGCGGGGCTGGCAACATCCTTGATAGCTCTGCGGTGCAGAAAGGGTCACAGGCCACTAAGTTTGATTGCATCTCACCTCAAATCAAACACATGTGCCCAGGTTAGGCAGACTTGTCCATACGAGGTCTGGAACACGCTCACCTTACCCTCAGCCAGTGCTCCAAACATCAGCACTGGAAAGAACTTGAAACCTCCATGTCTGCATGTGAAACAGCTGAAGATAGCAGAATTTTTTAGGTTTGGGTGTAATGCCAAGGGCCTCATGACAACATGGTTCAGGTCACCTCCCATTTCAGTGCAAAAGGGCAAGCCAGAGAGCAGCAACTGGAAGGAACATCATCCTTTATGAAGAGGAAGCAATAGTGCCATGATCTAAATTTACACTGTGTGCACTAAAATTATTTATGAAGAAGGAAGTTACTTATGGAAGCGGGAAGGAGGAGAAAAAAAGAAAGGTGGTGGTGGTTGTTTTTAGAAGGGGCTTTCAACTTCCCAATCTTTGTTTACAGTACCAGTGCCACCACAAGCCCAGAACATCTTTTTCCATTTCATGTATAATACGCAAGAATACTGTAAGGCTACATGTCTCTTACTCAATTCTTATCTTTACGGTGCAAGTTTGCCTTTGATCAAGGAAACGTCCTGGTTTATTTGTTTTCAAACTGAACCGCTGAAGATGGGGAGCTGCAGCTCCGGCACTTCCATCAAGGCAGGCTCGTCCCTCAGCTGCTTCTCTGACTCAGCCAGCGAGGCCCTGCTGTACAGCACTATTTAGGTGCACAATACCCACTCAGGATCAGAACGCGAGGGGCGATAGGAGCCTACATAATTCTGTGCTCAGAGCCTGGTTTTATTTAGCAAATCCCGGCATTAAGAGATTAACTTGTGACTCCAGACACACTCAGAGAGCTCCTGCTGCACCGCCCCGGCAGGACGTGGGCTCAGGCCGGGGCCGGGGGGCAGCCGAGCCCGAGCCCGAGCCCCGCGGCGGCCCCGGGGACGGCGCCGGCCGGCGGCACGGAACCCCCCGGGCGGGCCGCGGCCCGGCCCGACCCCGCGCCCGGCCTCACGCACCCGCGGGAGCCGCCCCTGCGCCCTCCCCGCACGCGCTCTGCGGGAAAGGGCCGCGAGGCTCCCGGCCCGCCAGCCGGCCCCCCTTCCTTGCCCTCCTTTCCTTTCCTTGCCCTCCTTTCCTTTCCCTTTCCTTTCCCTYTCCTTTCCCTGCCCTTCCCTCTCCTCCCCGCGGCGCCGCTGCCCCGCCCGCCGCCGACGCACCACTAAGATGGCGGCGCCTCCCGCCTAGCAGCAACGGCCCGCGCATCCCCCTCACCGCCGCGGGGCCCGCCGGGAGCTGTAGTCCCACGCCGCCCCCGCCCGCCACAGCCGCCGGCGCGCAGGACTACGAGTCCCGCGGTGCTCGGGGGCGCGGAGGCGCATGCGCGGCGAGGCGCCGCGGGGGGCGGCGGGCGGCGCTGGGGAGCGCCTGGCGCGGGCCGGGCCGGGCCGGGCGGCGGGAGCGGCCGCCATGCCCCGGGACAACGTGGCCTCGCTGATCCAGCGGGTGGCGCGGCAGGCGCGCCTCACCTTCCGCAGCCCCGCGGCGCCCGCCTCCGGCGAGGATCTGCACCGCCTGCGGCAGCTGCTGGACGAGGTGCGCGCCGAGGACCTGCACCTGGCGCCGCGGGGGCCGGCGCCCGTGTCGGCGGGCGGCGCGAGCGCGCGGGCCGGCGCGGTGCCGCCCGTGAGCTACATGCACATCTGCGAGACGGAGAGCTTCAGCATGGGCGTGTTCCTGCTGCGCGGCGGGGCCTGCATCCCGCTGCACGACCACCCGGGCATGAACGGCATGCTCAAGGTGCTCTACGGCACGCTGCGCATCGCCTGCCTCGACACGCTGCCCGCCGCCGCCGCCGCGCCGCCCCCCGCCGCCGCCGCCGCCGCGGGGCCGTGGCAGCGCGCGCTGCTCCGCTCGCGGCAGCTCTACACGCGCGCCTCGCCGCCCTGCCTGCTCGCGCCGCACACCGACAACCTGCACCAGATCGACGCCGTGGACGGGCCCGCCGCCTTCCTCGACATCCTGGCGCCGCCCTACGACCCCGAGCACGGCCGGGACTGCCACTACTACCGGCTGCTGGAGCCGCCGGCCGCCGAGCCGCCCGCGCTGCCGCGCGAGGTCTGGCTGCTCGAGACGCCGCAGGCCAGCGACTTCTGGTGCGGCGGGGAGCCCTACCCGGGGCCGCGCGTGAGCCCCTGAGCGCGGCCCTGCCGGGCGCCGGGGCTCCCCGCAGCCCCCCGCCTCCTTTTTCCTTGCCCWCCTGCATGGCGGTTTTTCTTTTTTGATTATTATTATTATTATTATTTCCTTTCCTGTTGTTGCGGCTTTGCTCCGTCACCGAGCTGCAGCCAGCGCCCCGGCTGCGGCTGTCCGCAGGGCTCCGCCGCGTCCCCTGCCCCGGCCGCACATCTCCTGCGCCCGCCGCGTGCGGCCCGCATTGCTCTGGCCTCCCTGCGCCGCCGCCGGCCCCTCTGCATTTGGGGCAGCAAAGCAGCCGAGTGTATTTATTTGCCTTGGACTGATGTGACGCGACGGAGGAGCAGCCGGCAGCGCTGGGAATCGTCCGCTCAGCTGAGCGTTTGAAAGACATCCAGCACCGTGTGTAAATAGTTAAAGCCGCTCTTTAGTTTTGGGGGAGGGCTGCTGAACTCAAGCTGAGAGAATAAATGCAATAAGAAATCTTCAGGGTCGTCTTGCATGCCAGAGGTAGCATCTCCTGCGCCCGCTCCCCCAGCAGGACCCTCCGGTGCCGCCCGCGGATGCGGGAGAGGAGCGTGCGGACGCCCGGCCTGCAGGCAACGGAGCCCAGYGAGAAGGACTGTTCTGCCTTCATCATTGCGGGACTTTGTCTCTAGAGTGAGCATCAATGAGAGCTGTGCTCAACTAGCAAAAAAAAAAAAAACAAAACAAACAAACCAACTCATGAGCCAGGAAATGCGGCTAGAATAAACACCAGTGATTCCTGGGGTTGGAGTTGAGTAAATTTAAGGTCATTCCCTCTGTAAAGGGACAATGTCAGGTTCAGAGTTACTTTTTTAAGAGTTCCTAAAAGTGTTACATGGCATAAGATCTCACTATTATATCTAACAATAATTAGAGCTAATTCTATGCATATTTCCTTCCATGAGGAGGAGACTAGTCAGCTGCTAATTAATCTTGCTTGGAAGTTCTCAYGCAGCAGTGGCTGAACATGGGGGGAACCGTGGGCATCTGGCAGCAGCGTACCTGCTCTTGTTCCATGGGAGCTGCTCAGGAGGTACCCTGTGTTTGTAAAACCAGTCTACGTAGTGAGGCACATGCCCGAGGTGCAGATAACGTTTGACCTGATATCTTCTCTAAAATACAGTCTGTGTTTTTATACAGACCAGTAAACACTTTAGGGCTTTTGAAGCCTTGTGATTTCCCTCTTTATACTATTTATAAAAGATTACTTTTTCATAAGGCTTTTAAATAAACACAGTGTAGAAAAACACAGTGAATGTTGCCTTGCTCCAGTGTAAACAGTCTCGCGATACAGTTTGTCCATGATGGGGGGTGCGATCTTTCTAGCAAGGCAGGAACTTTTTCTATGGGTGAACTTTTCCATGCAGAGAATGGTGGTGTTATGTGCCCACTTACATTAATACATATTTTATAGTAGAAACCCACGCTAGGGCAGCCTTGACCCTCTTGGTCTCGCTGTAGGAATTTGAATAGAAAAATACAACTTACCAGCTTCCTAAGGGATGTACCAACCTGCTCCAGAAATCATTCCACAACAGGCTTTACTTTTTCTTTGCTCTGGGTATTTATAAAAGCAGACTTGTTTTTCCTGTACAGTTGCTTGTATGTGTGGATTTTTAAATGATTGTGATATGGCATTGCTTTTTTTTTTTTTTTTTTTCCCTGCAAAAGAATGAATGTAAAATATCATCACCATTATGCACGCACATATTAATTCCTTTCCAGGGAAGAATTGCTGGAAATTATTTCAGGCAATTTCCATTTATTCTTAGAGCACTTGAAAGTGTTTGGTATTTCTACAGCTGGCCTACCTGTTTTTCCTGGAATTCCCCTGCAGCTGAGCGCTGGCTGATGTGCAGCAGTCGCCACTGAACGGAGTTGTTAACTAACGCAGCGCCCTAGTGTCTTGCAGCATCTGCTTCTAACTCTCCTAGACAATAACGAAGAGCGTCATCTTTTTTCTTTTTTTTTTATTTTTCCAGAAGTCCATATATAAAATAGCACGATGCTTACTGTATTGGAAAATAAATAACTGTAAAAGAGCTGTATTGGAAAAACAAACTGCAACAAAGACTATTTTTACCTATTCTGTTCTATCCTCCCCTTAGGTCTTTCTAAAATAATTTCTTTTTTAACTTTTCTCTGCGTGTAAAACCTAGTCAGGGTGTTCAATAGGATATGACTTTAATGCATCTTTCCATAGCAGACAGCATATAGACCCTTACACTGCGATGTTGTTAACAACCACAGCGAAACTTCCTTTTAATAAAAGTGTGAGCATCAAGTACTGAAGTCATGGTGCTGGGAAAAAGCTGCCAGAAAAATGTAAGATGCATTAAAGAGAAGCCTCCTTGTGCAGCTTTTCACTTACTCAGTAAGTGAAACTTACTTCATGTGTTCTGGATACCTGTTAAGCTGGAGGTTTAAATCTGTACTGCCGCTCCTTCTCTCTGCAGTTTGGTTATTGTGTTTTCACAACAGTGAAATTACTGTTACTGCTGAATTATAGAATAAATACAGAATATCTTACCAGTGGCCAGTCATTACTTTCCTTCACGTGTGTGAAGGAACCTCGAGCCCAGGAAGATAAAGAGAGYGAGTTTCTTTTGCAGGCAGCAGTTCAAGTGGTGCGGGTGGCCGTCGAAAAGCGATACTCAGAGCCGAGTGCTTAGCCTCTGTCTACCGAGCAGGCGAGATCTGGGCACGCGCCGTACTGCGACTTGGGAAGGTTGTAAAGAAAGGGCAGGGGTTTAAGACACGATGACACTCTTATATGATGTCAGGTTTTCTTGTAGCCCAGTGCTGGGCCTGGGCAGTTTCCTTACTCATTTTGACTTATTTGCAGTTCTGTATTGTCCATCTCTTGGCTTTAAGGCTGGGGGTTTCACCTTGCAGATGGGAGCTTGAAAAGAGAGAGCCACCCAAGACCACGCACTGCAGTAGCCGTAACGGGGGCTCTGCTCACGGTGCTTTGGCCTCCAGGAGCGCCTCAATGGCCGGCGCTGACCATGGAAGCGGCGTTTCCGTGGGGTTGTGTTGCAGGCTGCATGTGTATGCCCATGGAGCTCCCATGTGACATCTGTCTGGAAACCTCCTCCATCTCCAATAGTGGGGTGGTGAGGGAAGGGCTCTGGAGCTGCCTTGCTTGGGGTGACTCCGGCCATGTGGACGGCGTGGCGCCCAGCTTTGACATCCAGTTCCACATCCGATCCAAAGTGAGGTGCGGGGTTTCAATCTGTGCTGCTTGTCTTTTGCTCCAAAGGCCAGTGCCAATTTCAAAGTGGATTCCAAGAGAGAGAGAACGGGAGCTTCCAAGAGAGCRGGGAGCAGCTGTTGGGCCTTGCGCAGTGGGACCTGGCACAGCAGTAAGCAGAGCAGTAGGGGATCGGTGCACGCTGCTCTTGTCAGGCTCGTGCTGTGGCACCAACAGCACTGTTGATCCCACACCACTCACCTGTAGGCCGGGGATGGCCGTGGCCTCACAGCGGCAAGGCCATCCCGGGCCCTGCACCGGCAGCAGGGGCCCAAGCTCAGCCTGCCCATCACGCAGCGGTCCCGAAGGGCTCCTTCCTGGAGCAGGGCTCGGCCCGGCTCTTGAGCTCCGAGCATGCATCTCCAGGCACAAAACGAGCAGCTTTCCGGGCGGCCGCTCCGCAGGGAAGAGCCAGCTCTGCCCGAGCGCCAGGACTCGCTCTGGGGAGCTGCCCGGAGGCTGCTGCGGCCTCCGCGCACTGCGGAGCAAGCGAGAAAGAGCGAAAACCGCCCACCCGGCCCCGGCTCCGCGAGCGCGGCCCGCGCTGCGGGGGATGTCCGGCGCCCGCAGACGCCGCTTTCCGCTCACGGCAGCGAGGGGGCCGGACTGCCGCGAGCCCCCGCAAAGAAAGGTGTCCAAGTAGCATAATTAAGAATTTATTTGTCCTTTTTTTTTTTTATAAACGTTGTAAGCACCGAACCTATCGTCGAAAAGTTTATTTACAGAGTGGCCCGGCAGAATCCCTCTCCGCGGGAGCGCCGTTCGTGGCTGCGCGGCGCTACCGGCGCTGGCGGCGGAGCCGGCCCCGCGGGGCGCGTCCCGGCGCCGCAGGCAGCGCTCTGGGTCACCGAGAAGGGGAGAACAAACAAACAGACCAACCCAAACAGCGCGTACAAAAATATAGTCTCTAAAAAACCCCCCAATATTAATAGGCAGAAATGTACAGCCATACTTACTAAAACCTCGGGGAGGGAAAACTCCCCGCTCGGGGTGTCGCCGCCCCCGCCGTCGGAGCGGCCGGCGCAGGCACCCCCCACATGCAGCCGGGGCCCGGCTCCACACCACACAAGGCACCACGGACACCTCAGCACGACGGCACGGCACGGCACGGCACTGCATGCACCCTCCTCCCGCCGCGGCCCCTATGTACAGCCGCGGCCCCGCTCGGCGCTGCGCGGCCCGGCGGCCGGCCCGGGGC